AAATTCCCTAAAAAGTAATGTTTTTTAACTCAATTTTTGGCGATTTTTTCGATTTTTACAATAATAATCATGATTCATTTGATTTGTAACTAACTAGTCATATTTAAAAAAAAATTAATTACAAACATTGTTTCCTCTTTAATTTTCGCCCAAAATCAACTCTTGAAAAGATACATCATTAAATAGGAAGAAAAATATGACATTTTTCCAATTTTTCTAACATATTGTGCCGTCAAAAGTTAAGCCCACGTTTTTTTTATGCGCATAGAAAAATTTTCATTTCTAATGATATTTGAAAGACAAAAAGCCAAAAATCTCCGTGGATATACGATTCACCCAAATATGGCTTTTTGAAACAGATACCGTCTGGACTAATAGACCAAAATTCCTAGTTAACATTCAATTATATTTCAAAAATGAATTTCGCCTCACGCATCGTTCATGTTACAATAATTGATCTCGGTGATTCATTATAATCCTGTAGAATGTACGACGTGTCTTAACTTTTGATCTGAGAGGAAAGCGAGTCCATAGGCGTATCATTTTAAAGAAGTTATTAAATTAGAATAAGAATTAAATAGATATTTTACGATTTTAGGTAGGTTCTTTTTTATTTATTCTAAAGTATGTATTCAACAATCCTGTCCTCGTGATCTTAGCCTGTAGAGGTAGTTTTACATCTCCTAATTTAAAAGTTGTGTTACTTTGTGTCACCTAAATTTGTATATCCATCCAAATTAGTCCAGTGGAGTTCAGCTCACAATGGTGTGGTAGCAATAGAAGTTTGTCTTTTCAAGCTTTGACCATTTAATATCATGTATTTGGCTTTCTATTTTTGCGCACTTGCTAACAATTGTACTTTTAATATTCTATCTTTCAATGTGTTGTCCATTCAACCATTTCATGATTTCTTCTTGTTTCCATGTAGATGTTGACAGTTTTATTATATTCGTCGACTCTTGTAAGGAGCATTATCCATGACAATCACTGCAGAAGATTTGATGTGGGACAAAGTAGATGCAAGAATCCGCATTCACGTCCCATAATTATTACTTATTTATCACCGCCCATTCCAAAAAATAACTTTAAGCCATAAAAAATCATTAGGAAAATGTTTCTCGTCTGCTGTTGATATTTAAATCTTGTGAAACTTTGGATACCGTTTGACTTTACCCATACTTCGTCGAGGTAATACATTTTCGATGTACGACACGATTATTTTTTCTAAATACTGTCTTGATTATGTTATTTTCTATTAACATACTTTTCGATTTCGTTTTCGTAAGAAAAGTTCATTTCATACATAGTACATAGTAAAACTCTTCAGGGCAGTCTTCATTTTCAGCGACTGCAGTTTCAATTTTCTTTAATTTTGGAATTTTAAAAATAAAATCCGAGTCTTCCTACGGATTAATATTTTTTCCTGTTACATATTTTGCTTTTTTGCTTTTTTTACAATTTCACTATTTTCTAACGCACGATAAACAATTCTAACTGATACTTTTGTTAAAGAACTACACACGTCCACGGCATCAGTCCTTGACATATCTGCGTTTCTTGCTAGAATTCTCTAATAAACATTGTTTATTATACAACCAGTTTACCATTACCCTGATTGGCCATTAACACTCGCATACGATTCCACTATTAAAAAAACACTTTGAAGTAACTAAAATGTGAAAATAATAACTAGTTTTTCTCGCTTGCACGCATATGACACGAAACGTCTAGCTACCTACTCTATGCGAAATATACGGAACATTACATTACAATTTTTTTGTCAGATTAAGAACCTGTAAAATTTGAGGTTTGATTTATTTATGATCCTACTACTTTGGAACTTTGGTATAAGTGTGATAATTAAATATGATTTTGTATTTCTATTCTATTTTATTTTTATTATTTTAGCTCCAGTTATTAGGTTCTAATGTCTCTGAGCATCCTCGTTTAAAATCTTTGAATATCTCACATTTACCAACAGTATCAGAAGCTTTAACTTTTGATGCGATTGAGATGCTCGCAAATGTCTTGGACCATTTAAAACCAGTTCAAAATGAGAGTATAAATTGCGAAGATGGCACACAGTGGGAAAATGGTGAATCATTTATGAATTTTATACTTTCCGTAAGTATGTAAAATAGATATTTTTTGTGCCACCAAGAAAAAGATAAAACTATTAAAAACTATAGTTTTTTGACATATGGAGGGTTTTTTGAAGTTGACCAATACTTTTCTACTCGAAATCTCTGTTGTTACAAGAGATATCAAAAATTACTTCAAACATTTCTTGTACAATGTCTTCCACACAATGCAGTGCTGAATTTAGTGTTATTCTTTTCTTAATGGGTAAGATATTAAATTCATCGATGGAAAATGCGAATCTAGCAAAATTTCAATAAAACGTTTTGAGATTGTTTGAGGTAATGAAAAATAAATAATACCTATCAGTTGAGGCTATGATACGGTTGTAAACCACTAAAATTGATGACTGTAATGGATCTAGTTTTGGTCAAAATAACAAATTATAGCTGTAGCAGTACTGCAGCAGCTCAGATGATACTCTATTCTTATAATTTTGATGAGAAAAGCGCCTTAAAAATAACAATTTTACGGAAATGGCACAAAAATATAAATTTAACGATTTAAACATTATTTTCACATATGTGAAAGAAATTATTGGATAAAGTTGCTTATTTATAGCACAGTTTTAGTTGTTTATTCTTTGCTAAAGAAGTGAATTAGAAAGAAAATTGAAAAACCATCGGAGCGTATTTTTATTCAAGTCATTGCTGCTCCATCAAACTCTTAGTGACGTCATGTCTATTTCAAAATTTAATAATAATAATAACAATAATTTATAGAACTTTTTCTCGATTAATTTAAAAACTTGCCCAATGTTATATTTTCATAAAAATGACACCGAATTTTGTTAATTTTAATCGAACGCCTTATATATTTTTACGTCATTGAATTCCTTTTCTTATTGCATTCCCAGCGGTGTAATATAGAATATTAGATTGTTTGCATATTACTGTATAAAAAACATACATTTATAGTATTTATTATCTTACGACATAATTATTACTAAACATTGTTGTTGTTTTATAAAAAAAATATTGATTCTCAAATTCAAAATATATTCAAATACTTCAGGAAACTTTGGTAATTTTATTATTGTGTCAAACAGCTTTTAATTTAGTATTATTTAGTATTATTATTATTAGCTAATTATTTTAATAGATTTATAAAATTTTCAAATTAGTATACAGGGTGTGGCGTCTTTAGTGCAGAAAAAATAAAGTGCAGATTCCTAGGAATATATCCAATAAAAAAGCCTTATATAAGAAATTCATATATCCACGTTTTGTCAAGAAAATTGAACTTCAATTTTGTAGCGAAGAAATAAATCTTAGTACGGTCCTGGTCAAAAAATGTCATGCCATTCGATTAACATCAGCGCACGCTTGCCGAACCGAACTTAACAGAGAGTC